GGGGGGGGCTGCGCTATCGCCCCATGAGAAACGGCGCCGACGTCCTTGTAAGTTAGGCCCATGAATTGGAGGGGGAGGGGGCGAGCGACTGCTATACCAAATCCGTCGCGAACCCGAACCATTCATTTGCTGACTGAAAAGAAACCGAAAATAGGCGTTCCTGCCGGCCGCTATACGCAGCAGCAGCAGCAGACAAGACATGCGGTGGAGAAGGGAGGAGGATTGAGAGAAAGGGCGGGGGCTTAGCCTATGGGGATTCTTAACTTCTCTCTTTCTTACATGTACCTGTCCTTCCATTTATAATTGATCCTGTGTTCAATAGAACACATGACATTTTTTTCATAAATAGTTCACTAGTTATGCACAGGATTTTGTTCCTCTTATTTTGAATCATTTAGGGGCTATAAGTCGAAGGGGTTATGGGGGTGGCGAAAGGCCTCGAGCTGCAGCAGAGCGAGCGAGATGGAGAGAGAGGGGGTAGGGACGGGGGACGAGGGAGACAGGAAGAGAGAGGGCAGCAGCGGTGGCAGGACATCCAGACTTAATGCAGTAGTTGGCCGCTATATCACTGCATTGTAGTTTGTGATTTATAGGGGGCAGAATGCAGCGGCGGCCAAAACCCACCACCACCTCCCACTGCCGTACTCGCTGCGCGCGGTGCCATGGCCGGCGGCGGGCCGGGGGGGAGGGGCGTACGTCTGGCGCTCTCCCATGGCACTGCCGGGCGCCCCCTCCAGGACCCCTCCCACCTCGCGGCGGCGGCGGCAGCGGCAAAGATAACAATAATTGCAAGAGCGTAAAGAGATTCCGGCCGAAAGTGACCATCAGCGGCATGCTACCCGTATGAAGACATTTAGAGGGCGTGGCAAAGTAGGCGCGCAGCGACGCGGGCGGGGGCGCGGCCGCCGGAGAGGCCACCGGCGGTGGGTATTATTTCAAGCGTGGACCAATTCTCCTGTCTGGATTTTCCCTCGATTTTTCCTGGATTTTTCCAGGATTTGGACTGGAATTTCTCTGGATTTTCCCTGGATTATCCCGAAGTTTTCGTGTTTTTTTCTGACTTTTCTTGAATTTTTTTAAAGTTTTTCTTGAATTTTTCCAAGTTCTTCCTGAAATTTTCCTACTTTTTCCTCAATTTTTCCGGATTTTTAAGAGTGTAGTGCACCTCTGTGGGCGTGGCGGTAGCTCATTGCGGGGCTCATCGCCTAATTGCGGACGGGACGTCACGTGACACGGTCGCGCTCTGCCGCTCGAAAAGAGTGGCGGCGTGCGTGCGTCCGCGCGCGCTCTCTGATTAGAGCAGGACGGCGACGGCGACAAGGCGGCCGCCAAAGTGTCGCGGTCCCCCCGGCCACCGGCCCCGGCCCTCGGGACGGCGTCGGAGCGGTAAATGCCCAAGCACCAACGAGTGCTGGTGGTGGGAGAGGTGCAGAAAACGACAGCACTTATTAGTCAACAAAAAAAAGGGGGGAGAGATAAAACAGTAGAGGGACGAAGCCGGAACTGCGTTTACCCTGCTGGAAATCTGAAAGTTTAAATGTCGTACACCTGGAGGTGAGCGAATAAATCCACACTGTCGTAATAGGTTTGCGACAAAATAAGGTCAACAAAAGACCAGTCACTGCACACCACTCACAAAAGGAAAGCCATCGTTCAAAGAAGGCATTACTATTTGCTCACCTGCACGTCCATGGACTCACATGGGAGAATGTGTAAATGTTTTGTCGCACACCTTGAACAGTTTGAGTTTATTCTCCCACTTGCAGATATGCGGCTGTACCACACTTGGATTTCTGGTGCACATACATACATTGCTTTCAAATGTTATTAAGATTTAGTTTTTGTGGTATTGGTTCTCCCTTTTTCTTAAGTTTAGAAAATGAAATGATTAATGTTTTCTCGGCCGTCGGACGCGCGGCTCACGCGCGCCGGTGGATTTCCCGGACCGCTGCCGTATTTCAATCGTCGAATTACGATGCGGGGCATAAATCCTCCCGTTTAATTTAATATCTGTCGGAAATGTACCTGCCGAAAAAGAGGGCCGCCGTAAACCACAACACACAGAGCGAGAAAGGGAGGGGGTGGGGAGGGGGAAGACAAGAAAAAGGCGGGAGAGAGAGAGGAAATGAATGTGGCGGGAAGGGAGGAGCCGGCAGCAGGGTTGGGGGAGAGCGGGAAACGCAACTATCTCCGATTCAGCGTCTTTTAAAGATTGGGAAGGCGTTGAAATGCAATTCCAAAGTACATGCAACCCCCCGCTTGATAAGCCTCTCCTGAGGTGAGAGGGAGAAGAGAAGCGGAGGGGGAGAGCAAGAAGGGCGAGGATGGAGAGTAAATGTGGGGTAGGGGCAAACAGATGGAGGGGGAGGGCTGAAAAAGAAACGGATAGAGTCGGGACCGGAACACGCTGGCCCGCTCCCTCCCCCGACACAGGTAAATCGAAGAGGATGCCTCTCCTCCCGCTTCATGGACCCGATAGACGCAATGCGAATCCCTTATAAAGCGTTTGCAAACGTACAGTGAACCCTGCTCCTCTGAACCCCGATGGGTATCACGGGGCTCCGTGGGCTGTGCTGCGGGTCACGCGAGTGCCTCATCTCTAATCTCAGGGCGCGTGTGCGTTCGGCCTCCGGTAGGAGTGGAAAGAGGGGGGGGGGCAGAGAGAGAGAGAGAGGTGGGATGAGAAGAAGAAAAGAAGGTTTGATTAATCTGAATCTACGACGACCACCCCTTCCACACCTCTTCGGTCTGTACACCCTCTCCATCTCTCTCTCCCCCTCTCTCTCTCCTTGATTACCACTGAACGGAGTCCATTGTCCGCCCTCCTCCTCCGGCATGTCTTGTCCCCTACACCAACACACACACACCCGCACACACACACACATAAACGTAACAGCAGCAGCGATTGCCCACTGATTCGCACAATATCCTTTTCCCCCGACCGGAAAATTGCGGAAGCGCCCAGGATGCACTGTGCGAAAAAACTATTCAGCATCGTCGAGAACGTTTATTCGCGATGGATGTTCACGTGAAACGTACTCGCCTTACCCGTCTTTTCCGGCATAGGGCATTAAATGAGCGTAAAAAAGCCTCCTCAATGTTCTACTGCCTGAATGGCGCTGCGGGGGTGCGGCGCTCCCCCGCGCTGCACACAGTGTGCATATACGGCATGTTAATGCACTTTTATTTTCCCCACAACACGCGTATATTTTCGCGTTGCTGGCTGAGCTCGGGCCGCTCGGGCCGCTCACCGCCACGGCCCTCCCGGGCGTACTTATCACATTATATCCTCCCTCTCCCTTGAACCCCTCCCCCTGCCCCCCAAACCCCTTTCCTTTCTCCGTCCCTCCTTTCCGTCGCCGCGGCGCCGCCACCGCCGCTGTAGTTGTCGTGTTGTTTGCGGAAGAGAGTTCTGCGCGCGCGCAGTTGGGGCGCAAGTGCACTGTAGCAGCAGCACTCTTTGTTGTTGCGAGTGCCGGGCGAGTTCCATTGCGACAAATGCAGAGAGACTTTGAACGACACAATAAAGGACAGCTTTTGAGTCAGGTCTGTAAGTGGCGCAGCCCAGGTGCCCGTCTGGCTGCCTACCTCCTAACGGACAAGGGCTGGGAAGGTGCCCCTAACGTGCCCCTATAGGAACAGGGTCGCTCCGCCGTCCGGGACCGAAACGAACGACTGGCAGCAGCGCTCGGACAAGCCAGAGCCAATCAGACGACGGCGTGTAATCCTTTCGGGGAACAAGACAGGCGGGTCCTACGCCAAAGCCATCTACGGCGGATGTAAGGTACCCGTAAGGTACCTGTGAGGTACCAGTAAGGTACCTTGCCACCCAAATGGACGCGCGGGCTCCGCCTCCTTCGGGTTGATCCCCTTCCGCCACTCTGCATCACTCGGAAAAACAAAGGTGCTACGTCACACTCTTGCCTCGGCAAATTTGGTGAGTGACACACAACCCGTACAGAAAAATTCGGCCTCAGCATGGGTCTAGAATGGCTCCGTCGTAGCCATTCTCAACACATCGCGGAGGATCGCTGTGATCAGTCTCCAGGTTTTGCGTAGCCGAGGCGTAGCCATCGCGAATGGCTCCGCAATAGGTAACTTAATGACGGAAAGAGCCATTTCGCAGCCGCCTT